GCCTGTCATCTGGTAATAAAACTATTGAGATGTGCCACACTGGCTTGCCAGTGATGCCAGGATTTAAACGATGTCTTTTTTTTTTCCTCCAATAACAGATGGTAAAGAAGCTGAAAAAACACAAACAATAAAGGTTGAAATATGCTACTAAAAGCTAATAAAATAGATCTCAGTGAGTTTCATTTGTGTCTAGATTCTGAAAAATGGGCATTAAATGCACAAATTGCTTTCACAAAACCGGTTGGTATTCTTGGTGCCTTGGCAATGCTCTTTGCAATAACTAACACAATGGAGCTAGGTAGAGGGGTAATCGGCCTCCTTCACAGATGCTGCTGCTGTGATACTGAACCAAAGGTCTGATTTGATTTTCCTTACAAAGAGCAACTCCCTCGCTTTGTAGATGGATAAGATTGGTTATGCTGCTGAGGCCTGCCTATAAATTACACCTTTTATATCTCTTTCATATTATCTACACAGATTATGTAGGCTAATAATTTAATTAGTATTCAGAAGTGAAAAATAAAACCTGTTTGGACACGTTTGAGTGCTGTTGGCTTTTATGCAAACTGTTAGATCTAATGTGGTCTGATATACACCCTGTGCTACGCTATGTCTCTGATTTGGGGGGGCAGGGGTTATGAGGTCTTGTCTGACCTTACAAATTGTCTGTGTGTTCACCTTAACTTTCTTATTGTTGTGCTATGCCTATGTTTCTTGATTAAAATAGCATACAGTACCAGTCTTGTAAGTAGATTTTCATTAGGGGGTTAAATATCTGACTAGGTCTCACCTCTGGAAAACTGAGTAACTATAATCTAAGAATCCAAAAGAATCCACTTTCCTAGCAGTGGGACAGCTGTTAGTGCTATGATTAAAACTCCAGTTTACAGAGTTAATGGGAGACTGAGTAGCAGAAGAGGAGAAATAGACACAGCTACAAAATACCTTCTTCTGATTTTTACAAGTGGATGAGGAACGGGCTGCTGAAAAGGGAGCAGTTCGTGTACAGGATTGCTGCCTTAGACTCCTTTTAATATCAGTCAAGAGTCATAAGAAAATGTAGGAACACGTGAACTTTTCTGGATCTGTTGTTAGTGTTTGTGTATTTTTGTGCTAACTAATCACACGTGATTGTAGTTTGGAACCCTTGTCAGGGAAATGTGTCGTCCCCCCACCCGTTGCTGCATGTCTTAAAGGGATGAGCTGTTTCACTGGATGCAGCTCTGGGAAAAGGCATTTAAGTAACTGTGGGCAGGAGATCCATTTGCTCATTTGTATATGTTAGCTTCCCTTATCTCCTCCCTTCCAGACAAGCAGAAATGCAGTTTGATTTCTTTAAAATTAGCAGATTATTTTGTGAGTATGTGCTGGAGGGTAAGGAATCAGAACGCTGGAGCCGATGTAGACTTGACAGTTTTTAAAACCTGTAGAAGTTCGGTGTGTACAAAGATGCAAGTTAGAAACCGGATGAAGAGCCTCACCTGTGAGGCTCTGTGAGTGTTGGGGCTTAATCTGCATTTGCTCGCATTTAGTTGCGGTATTTGATTCCTGTTCTGGAGCATTGTGTATTGTAGTTCTCAATTACTAATCATCATGCAAGCCTGTGTTTCAGGTTAAATCTGTTGGTACTTTAGCAGCTCTTTGAAACTTACTTTATAGCATTTTCGTAAATCTCTCAAGAATCTCAAAGCTCTACAAACATTTCACAATAAATATAAGACTCAAACCATCAATTTTCTGAATCGTGCTTTGGTACTAACTTTCGGCTGATTTGTCACAATTTAAGATACAAGATGCTAAGATAAAAAAGAAAATTGATATCTTTGCCTTTTTCCCATTTTGAACAACACAGATAACAGACCTGTGAAAGCTCTTTTGAAACTAGTTTTTTAAAAAAAAAAAAAAAAGCCTTATTGACTTGGGTGCATATCCGCTTGAGTAAGTACCTCAAACTCTTCTTTTGAGGCTCTTTTGTAAATTGGTCTTAACAAATGAAAAGGATGGCTTCCATGCAACACAATAAGTTATATTTTTAGTATCTGCAGGGCTATTAATGTTCACTGTTTTTCAAATTCAGCTTCAGGTCATAGAGATAAGATTTCCTTGGCCAGCCGCTCCATGGGTGGCATTTCTTTAGGCTTTTATTGTATTTGTTCCCTTGATACGCAGCACGGTCATCCTTGTTCACCCTTGAGATAAGGGGAAAAGTAGTTTGATATGTTTTGAACACGCATAGCTGCTCAAAGTCTTAGCATCTAGAGGAAGCCAGAAATGTTCTCTCTAGACTAAGCGCCGCATAGGATGTGGTTTAGGTCTTCTTAGAGAGCAAATGATTCTCAGCAACTGAAAGAGAGGTGAGATGGGCTTAACGTTTAGGATGTGCTCTCTTGCTCTTTCCTGCTAATTCAAGGTGTCTTTTTAAATTAAGGAATTATTTGTGCGAGTTTGTCAGAGTAGAACAGTTCGGTTGAGACTACACGTAGACATTTGGACAAAACGTAGTTCAGAGAATTACTCAGTGATGAGGCTTGTGCTTCAGTTTTAGACAGATTCTTTTTGTCCAGTGCATATGCTACAATTTATTTTATTAACTCTTAACTGTTGCTATGGACGTTATTAGTTAGGTTTATTTTGTTAGCCATAGTTTGAAACTTTTTTAGATCATCTGGGTATAAATACTGTTTATATTTAAAATACCTCCAGCAGACTTGTATTAGTCTTGAATGCAGTAGTTAGCTGTATTCCTTTGACGAAACTGTTTTTCCAGCTTGAAGGGAAGAGAGAGGGGGCGCTTGCTTTGCTTTTTGAAGCTGATTGTTTTACATGCTATTCCCTGTTCAAGTGTTGTTACCGAAGAACTCCGTGAACTTTGCCTTTTAGACAATCTGTTTAAAAGCAGGTATTTGATGTTCGTATGAAAGAAGTTTGTCCAGAGTCCTTGTAGCATCGCTGTACTTCAGTTACCTGTGTCTAAAATGCCCCCGAAACAACTGTGCTGCTCGAGACAATGAAAGCTGTAGCTGTGGCATTGCAATGCTGTGTTATTGCACAGTGAGCTTAGTATGAAAGAGAACTTGTATTCACTTGTATTCCAGCTTGGATGCTGGAAGCTATCAAAAAAAAATCCAATTTGCTATATGAAAGGAGAAAGATTATTTTACTTGTGCCTTGTATAAAAAGCTGCTGCTCCTTGCTCTTCTCCCTCTGGTCTTATCAGCTCTCCAATTTCGTTACTTTACAGATTCTATGGAAGTGAAACCTATCATGACAAGGAAACTGAGGCGGCGACCAAATGATCCAGTTCCTATCCCAGACAAGAGGAGGAAACCTGCCCCTGATATCCTTTTACAGAGTCACTGGAGGGCTATTTTACTTGAAGCCAGCATGCTGTGTGGAGGGCAAAGTGCATCAGTGTTATTTTTGTACAGGAAAGAAAATGAAATGCTGGGATCAGCTTTTAATCTAGGAAATACTGAAGTGCAATTTGTCATGTACAATGTGTGATGAAGCAATACAATACAACCAGTGTTCAGAGATCCCTTGGTAAGAGAGTATCCTTACTTCAACTTTAGTTAAAGTGGTGGCTTTTTTTTTTTTGGTCAGGGAGTTTAGTTTAGTAAATTTTTTCAGTGAAAAAAGCTTTAAAAAACAGATATAAACTTTAAAAGACAGATATATATAATAAAAATGTTGAGGTAATTGATTCCATGGATAGTAAATGGCGTTTTACATAAGCTAAAGCTTTTCCCATTTCAAGATGTGACAACACATTTACCAGAAAGATCATATTTGTTACATCAAGCTAACTTTCCCTTTTTGATAAAGGCTTCAGTTCTCTAATCCAAACAGATACATAGCAAAAGCAAGGAGTGCTAGATTTGTTCATTTTGCATTCAAAGAATGGAAGTCCTTCTTGTTTTTATATAGCGCGAGAGAGAGAAGATGCGCTTTTAATCCTTCTCTCCTGCTTTGTTGCATGTTTCTTATAATTAAAACGTTCCTTAGCTTTTGGAAATATGTTCTTGGCTCCTCTGCAATGATAGGCACTCTTTCTATTTGTATATTAAATTCCCCTGGAAAGGAAGGCAGTGATATTTGTTTTGCAGAGGTTTATTATTAGGTTCCAAACTTGTTTGGCTTCAATCAGATTAAAGAACCTATTTTGTGACTTCTGAGTGACTCTCCATTTCTGAAGGCAGTATCAAACCTTGAACTTCTAGAGTTCATGCAAGATGGTCACACGGGTCTCCAGTTTTAATTAACCTCTTTCTACTTGGAGATTCTGTTCGCTCTTTCTAAAGGAGATATCTATTTATTAGTGCTAGTATCTCATCCAAAATAAATGAGTTTCATAGCAAACATAACCTATTAATTGAGCGTGACACAGCAGCCACAGTACGAAACTTTATTTGCCTTTCCTCACTGGGGAAAGGATTGATTCCATCGGAGCTCAAATCCTTAAAGCACAGCCTGGTGTTTGTTTTAGCTTTAGTTTAAGTCTAGTATTTGAAATAGTTTGACTTTAACAGTTGTTTTAAAGAAGTGCTGTAGATTAAAGATGGAAAAAGGGTCCACTGCTTTGTCTGGGTATTGTTTTCCTTTCCTGTAGTTAGGTTTTTCTTGGGAGGTACATCCAGAAAGAGAGGAGCTTTAGAAAAGAGAAACAGGAAAATGTGGTTGTGATACACACAAAATGTCAGTGGAGCTCTAATAAGGATATTACCTTCTGTGTTCTGATTTTTTTTTTTTAATTTTACTTGGTTTCAGAGTTTTTTGTTTGCTAGTTTTTGTCTTTTTTTCCCATGTGAGCAATAGGCTCTTATTCATCCTCATGAACGTGATTCTGTGTTTTGTGCCTCTTCTCAATTTTCTGTTTCTATTTTGGTAGTGGTGGTTGCGTTGCAGGTATTTTTTTCCCCTTGTCTCGCTATCCGTCTATTCCTGCCTACTCTGAGTTGTAACTGCTGATCTCTTCCTAGGTTTGGGTGGGATTCGGCTCCATTGTACGTGTGAAGTGACTCTATTACAGTTCACACAGATAGTACTATACAGCAGTGCAAGATTTATTAAAAAAAAAAAAGCATCAAACAGCAGCTTTATAAAGTGAATGTCAATGCTTTAAAGGCTTTTTATTGATGGTTATGTCTGATAAGTTAAAATCATTTTACATTCTGTTTGGTGCAGTATATGAGGCCCTGTGGAGATGACTTGTACTAATTCATATGACAAAAAAAGTTGAAGTGTAACAGCATGCATTAAAATCTTATGCAACTTTACAGAAACTTTTTCGCTTGCATTTAGTCAAGTGAAATGTCATTGACAGTTATTTTTTTTTTAAGCTCTTGGCAAGCAAAGCTAATGGGAACCTTAATTCTGGATACCTCAGCTAAATTATTTGTTGACTGATGAGCAAATAATGGAGGACCTGAGAACTCTGAACAAGGTAATGCTTTTCCCTGAAGAGGCCAGAGCTATCCGTCTTGTCTTGTGTTCCGTTTTGTGATGTGGAACTCCTTCATCCCAGTAGGCTTTCTGAGGTAACACAGTAAAAGATTCAGCAAGATGGTATCTCCGCCCTTTTATTTTAATAGGCTTAATTAACCTAATTAAAATGACTGTCACCTAAAAAAGTTACCTTTTGTCTGAACCAAGTGATGACGTGAAGGAGTTTCTCTCTTCCGCATGGCAGAACAGATGTTAGCACATATTTCTGTGAGATCACAGGCTGCTTCTGTTTTAGGCCTTAGTGGGTTTTTTTTTTCTTTTTCACTGTCACAGATATTTCGGCAAGCTGGATGGGGTGCAGTGGATATTTAGTTTTTCTAGATTTGATTATCCTACTGCTTTCTTGCTAACGACTTGAAGGCATGTATGTTTTCTCATAACAGAGGGTACTCCTTACGGGTTTTGGAGATGGTCATGCAGTATGCTTTTAGTGCCATCTGTTGAGGTCTGTCTAATGACTTATCTCCTGCGTAGTAGCGTTCCCCGAGAAATATCAGATCACGCTCAAAGAATGGAGCGTATTAGATTTGATTTTGACTTATTTTGATAAATTATCTGAGTGCTCTGAAGAAGTTCTGTTTCTAGACCTTTAGTGTCATGATACTGGTCATCCACGTCTTTGGCTGTTTACAGCATATTGTCATACTGTTCGGGTTATGTTCTGCCACTTAACAGTATGTTAAATTATGGAAAGAAAGATTATCTGAAATTACGACAACAGGCTTTTATGGTATAAAATTCATGTCAGATCTCTAATGGTTTTCTGTTCTCTTCTCATATAGCTTAAATCGCCCAAGAGACCAGGTGAGTTAACAATTACAGTAAAATTTGTTCACAATCTGTTTGCTTTGGATGGAGTATTTTACTGCGGACTTCTTTGACTCTGTAATTGCTGACATGCATTCTTTGTGTAGCTACTGTGGCGAGTGGGTGCTGTGCAAAAGTCCCTTCATCAGTCCTAAAGTTTGTTGGGGTTGGGAAGGGAGCCTTATGTGTCTTAGTAGGTTCCTGAAACATTTGGTTTAGCATGGCACTAAACTATCTATGTAAAAAGTTTTTGTTTGTTTTTCATTACGTTCAGATGCATCTGGGCGGCTGGCTTACTTGTCAGGTAGATGGAGGGACGGAAAACTTCTCGTCTTGTGCTTCTAGCTTGCTAGATGTCTGTACATCTTATTTGAGGACAGAGTAGTACTAACTTGCTTAAGTAATCCTGACCATATTTTACTTCTTTGTAATAAATCAGAGTGAGGGAAAAAAAAAAAAATCAAGGCTATATTGTCTATCCCCTACCAATCAATATTTTTTTTAGATGATTATTATATTCCAGGTGTATACTATCACCTTTATACACAAGGCAGAGGTTAAATTATTCATCCAAACACAGAGCACTTTACTGATGGAAATTTGAACTTCTAGCTTTCTGTGCTTATTTCTGCTAAATATGACCTTACTAATTGTGATTCTGCAGTCAGATGTACTGCTGTGTGGTGGGTGCATGCCAGTGTTTAAACGCTGCATCTCTTCTCTGTTCTCAGCCTCTCCCTCCTCTCCTGAACACCTCCCAGCTACACCAGCAGAGTCTCCAGCACAGCGGTTTGAAGCCCGGATAGAAGACGGAAAACTATACTATGATAAAAGATGGTAAGTCCTGGTAAATTAGCGTGGTAATCAGTCTGAGCCTTGAGTTATGAAGCAAAAAAGACCACAGAGAGAAGTTGCTTTCAAGAAAGAATTTGGGGACAAGATGTTTTGGGGCAGGGGTTAGCCATTGCCTCCAAGAGTTAATTGTTGGGATTCTGTAAATCAAAAGTGATAACGGATCTGTTACACTTCATAAACTTTCAGCAGAAATTGTCTTGAATGACAGGATGCTTAAATCTTTTCTGTGGAGTTGGTTGTGTGCTATGACACTGGGAAAACATTTTTGTCAAACCTAATGTTCAGTAAGAGGGCCACCGACAAATGCAGCATGATGCATCCGTGAATCCAGGTAGCCAGGATCCAGATACTCTGTGATTGCGGATGCAGCAGCTGCCAGCAGTGTTGGAAGTCCTTGTGGTCTGCTTTGTAGTACACTAGACCGTGTTTCCACAAGGTGGCAGAAGAAATGTTGCACACCAGATGAGTAGAAGGAAAAATGTTTCTAATAACAAAAACTAAATAACCTTTAAAGATCAAGCCCACACATAAGAAACAACTTCAGAATTGCTGATTGGATTTAGCTCTATAACTTTAATGGGCTGTGGAAGGCTCACAAAGCACAAGGAAAGTGTTTAATTTTCCACAGATATCTTAGTAGGTCTTAAACGTAATCTGAGAGACATGCAAAACTGGATAAGCAAGGGGGCAGTCTCGTACCTGAGCAGAAAGCAATTTGCAAGTCTTGTGCTTATTTGCAGCCTTGGTGTTCTGGTGGCTTGAAATAACAAGAGGCAGGGGTGTAGTTTCCTTGCTGAAGAGGGTACATATGAAGGTCTTGTCTACACAATAGCCGCCTTGCTTAGTTAGTCATTTTTTCCTTTTGCTAGTCTTCTCGCACTGAAGTTTCATCAAAGGTTCAATGTATACAGCTCAGACAAAAACCGCTGCCTGGAGCTTAAACTTGCCTAAAGCAGGAAGTAAGCATGACCATGCTACTGGGTTGCTGCACAAATTCATGAAGCTGTTTTTACTTTCAGAATTTTTTTTATGTAAAACCACTATTGTCTACTCTAGGATATCTTTGAATGAATAAACAGTTTTCTGGAATTTTTAAGCATGCGGATAACTGAAGTATTATGATTGGGACATGAAATATTTCAACAGATATTTTCATCTTGTTGAATTCGTTTGCCATGGGGCCTGAATGTCAAGAATTCCAGTTGTTGCCTTTCCCCTCCTGCTTATTGTTATGCTGTTTTAGGACAAGTATTTTAAATTTTTTACTGTAATAATCCTGCTTAGATTTTGATTGATAGTAATAGTACTTCTGCAAAGTGCCTGATATTTTAAAATAACAAAGTAACTCTTGATAGCGGGAAGGTAATTTTTTCTAACATGTATTAAAGCTGCAAGCAGCAGAAGTAATGAAGCTGACAGCTCAGGAGTGACTACTTTTTCTGTTTCCTGGTAGGAGCCATGAAGGGCCATTATCTCAAAGTAGTGAATGTTTAAGGCTAGTAATGGACTCCCTTAGGCCTTGTAGAGGCTTTTTGCAAGCATGTCTCCAAACCCGAGACTTTGTAGAGGGAATTTCAGATGGATGTGGAATTAGACTTCATTTTTTCTGTCCTCAGTTTGTGCTCCCCCATCCTGAACTGCAATTTACTGTAGAATAACACTTCTTTGCCTTTTGCTTTTAGCTTTGTCTGCATACAATAATTAAGAGCGATGATTTTCCATCTTTTGATCTGTTGACTCCAAAACACTTTACTGAAAAGATGCAACCCCCTGTGGTGAATTTTAGGAGAGAAGAACATTCTGTCAGTGGCTTAGTTCGTTTGATTCCTTAAGGGTAGCCCGCAGACCTGAGTTGGAAAGTTGAGAGAGGTTCATAGCTGCACTTTTGATAGTTCAGCTTTGCCTTTTGTGCCGCTTCTCAGCAGTGTCCTTTTGATTAAGTCTTTTCCTGGAGACGCAGTTGAAAATCTTAGCCTTTCAGCAAGGTATTTTTTAGCAGAAAGTAGAATTATTCTGCTTGCCTCGAGATGCTTGTCTGATAGTAGTGTACTTTCCCTACTGCGATAGCAAGAGTTGTTTGGTGCTTCCCTTCCTGCTTGAAAGCCAGCTGAAATTCCATTCATTTTCCATCCTAGACTGTTTTGCCCTGTAAAGTTCTACCCCTTTGTTGTTCCCCCGAGGGTACACAAACTGTCAGTGAGCTAAAGGCTGAGATGTGAACCTGTTACAGAGATGTACCAGGTTATTGTGCTTTCAGCTGACTTGTGTCTCGGCACACAAGGAGCATGAGACAGTTTAAGATAGTTATTCAATGAAAAAGTGCTGACCTAACCCTCTTAGCTTACCTTTGCCATGCCTAGTTAGCATAGATGAGCTGAGGGACAGTAACTTGTGATGTGAAATCCAGCGGCTGAAGCCAGCTGCGTGTGTGTCACTAGCTTTGGAGTTCACCGATACTGAAATTGGAAAGAAACAGCTTTGAGTGAAAAACTATTTCATTATCTGTGCCCACATCAATCTTATTCATGAGCTGACATTTGCAGTGGTGTCTTCTGCACTCTGAAGCTTGTGCGCTGCTGGTACCCAGATCAATTCCCCTTGCTTAGGCACTCACAGCGTATCATGGCAGGACACTGTTAAACTGAGGTTTTTGTCTCTTAAAATGGTGAGGGCTGGTTTGTAGTATCTTGTGCTGTTTCATTCACGCCAGTGAATGACCATCTGGGCTCCAGCTGAGGTTTCGGCCGAGACCATTGTTGCTATTGCATTACACTGGAACCTGCTGATAGCTTTTCTGTTGAAATGAGAGAGAGAGAGAATAATGACTAGGCACAAGTGTCTAAAGTTGACAGGGTTTAGAGTTTTTTATTAGCTAACCTAGTCCTTTGGTGATTGATATGTTTGGAAGTCTGAAAGCAGACACTATCATTTTCGTTACGGGTAAACAGTGTGAAAATTCTGAGTATGGGAGCCAGTCAAAAGAGTTCATGGAATAAACTGTTGGAGAACTTCCATGTTTACAGTATGGTTATTGTAGAAATAACTGTATAGATTATGCAAATCCATGCTTTCTGACAAATAGCTGTCAGGCAATCAAACTGTAGGGAATTGCACACTAAGCAGTTACCACTGGAATGTCTGCGTAGTGTTTCTGCAACTTGGATTTCCCAGTTAAATATGAAGCTCATAATGACTGAGGTTAAAGGCGGAAGTATAGTTATGCTTTCCTAACTATAAAGCATTTTTGTGCTCTCTTGATTACGTTTATGCGTTCACAAATAATCTATTTCATGTAACTAGTTTTGCCTACAGAGCTCTCCTAGGCAAAATAAACAGAAACCAGAGAGTTTCATCTAATATACTGTGCAGTCCTTACCAGAGGCATGTCATTGTGTTTGAAGGCAAGAAGACCATGGAATCAAGGGACTCAGAGTTATGAATTTTGAAGGTTTTTTTGTTTATCTTATACAAAACTCATTAAGAAAAACCATATGTAGCATGACTTAATATCTTAAGAGAACTTGAGCGTGCTTAGACACTACCTGCTTACGCTGGCTGTGTATGGCCTCTTTGTCTGTTGCAGATCATCTATCATTTCAGATAGTTTCACAACTGAAAAGTATTAGACCTCTTTGAGGTCTCTGCTGAATAACTGCACTGATAGGTTGAGGGCACTTCAAATATTTTGTGGCACTAGTGTTCTAGTAACTTTGCCCTGGGGAACGTGAACAACTTCTCAGTACCTGTGCTGTGCTTTGTCACGTTTTATCAGCCATAGTATGGACTTGCCCTTCTGAAATCCATCCAGTGTCCAAAGTCTAGAAGGTTGGTTTGATTAACTCTTGAAACAGGGTGGTCTTGTGGATCAGTGTTGATCTGGTGCATTGGTGCTCTGCCTTGCCTTTTTCAGACATGAAATCTGTTTTAAGTAACCTGGGTTGAGGATTGAATTCAAATTGATAGAGGATCTTACAGTAGCTTTGCATTTAAAATGTAGCTTGCCAATGTATGAAGTGTGTGTCTCTGAGATCAGATCACAGCTGTGTAAAGATGGGGAAGGTGATATGGAGAGGAGAAAAAGAAAAGACTGTTTTGTATTTATTCTATCCAAATGCTTGTAGACTCCTGGCCGTATAAATTTTACTACTGTTTGCTTTCTCAGTCTTTGGGCAGCTTAATGGTTTCATTTGTTGTTCTCTGTTTTTTATCTTTATTTTTACAGGTACCACAAGAGCCAGGCTATTTACCTGGAGTCTAAAGAGAACACTAAGATCAGCTGTGTGATCAGTTCTGTGGGCGCCAATGAGGTAGAGGACTGTTTTGTGTTTCATGGGAGTGGGAAAAGCTGTGGGTCAGTACAGGCAGGGAGACAGCTATCTGGTAAGGGCTAAGAGGAAAACGTCATTACTGCACAAACTGCTTGTGGAGCAGCTTCATCCGTTCAGGAAAGGCGTAATTCTGTGTCTGAGGAAGCTCAGTCTAGGATGAAACTGAATTTGCTTTATAGTGAGGTTGACTATGTTGCTCAGCATTTGGTGTTGAGGTTGATTTAAGTTGTATTGATCAGTCTTTGGACAAGAACCTTGATCACAAAACAATCATAGATCATGGTCTCCTCTTGAGAGAGGTTTGAGAAGGTGAGAGACTTAATGTTTCTCAGAGTGATCCTACCTTTTACAAGTAGTAGTTTGGTAGGCAGGAAAAAGAGGAGAACTGGCATGTTACATCCTCTTGGCACTGAATTTATAAGTTTTAATTTCCATTATTTCAGGAATATACTTACAGGTGATATTAATGCAAAATAAAAATAAATCTTGTTGGGAAGCCAGAAGAGGATGAGGTGAAACTTTGTCACCAAACTTAGTTATCATAAGGAGAGAAGACTCAGCCTTATAACCTAAATATATATATTGTGAAATGAGCTGGCAGCATTCCTATCACCTACTTGAGAGCTAGAGAAGGAGAGTCACTTGTGTGAGACCACTTCCTTTTGGCTGCTGATTAAGGCTTAGAGAAGCAGGCCGAGAAGCGTGCATCTAGGTTTGTTGTGAATCTTGCTGCAAAATACACTTGATGTTTGAGCAGTGCATCAGCTGGGCAAAGGAAGCAGGTTTTTCCTTGCTTGCAGATTCCAAGCAGTTCAAGGAAAGAAACAGTAGACTCGAATTCGCTTCTCTTCAATCAGCCAATAAAGTAACTTTAATTTATTTTGACAGTAAAGGGAAAATATTGCATTATCAACAAAATCAGCTGCATGTGGGATTTGCTTTGTATCACAACTGTTCTCCTTGCTATAGTAATTGTTCTGCTCAATGGCTGGTTATTTAGATAAACTAATAGCAAAGTGCTAACAGGTGTGTTACAAATACTGCTAATTTGATTGAAATTATTACTGTTTAAATCTCTAAATCTTCTGGGAGCAACTTGCCTGAAACTTCCAAAACTGCAGTAAGTTAAATATTTTTGCATGCATTTCACTTTGAAGTGAGACAGTAAGGGTTTTCTAGTGGGAAGTTGGGGAGGAGGTATGGCACATGTTTTTCCCTGTGGTGGTACTTTGCAACTATATAAAGGCAAGGGAGATAAACACTTAACAGGGTACTGAAATGAGGAGATGTTCTTAGGTACAAGATGCACTTCAGATTTTATAACACATTCAAAAGCAACAGTTGTCAAGCTATGATCTTTCTGGGTCCTACTTGAATTTAGGATCTGGAAGGCAGGCTTAGATTTGAGACCTCCAATTGTAGGCTGGAGTCAAAATTTAATAGCATTTCTAAAAGAAGCCAAGTCGTTTAAAGGAACTTTACGGAAAATCTTTGCATGAAGTGTCTCTCCTCCAACCTTTCCATTAATGCTCAAAGTGGAAAGGACATTAAAGGAACATAAGGAGCATTAGTCTGGCATACAATTGCCTCCTTGTGGCTGGGGAAAGGAAGTACTTAACAGTGCATCAGAGGCATCTTTGTGTGAAGGTCTGAATCGGTATACTTGAACTGGACTTGAATGTTGTAACTGGCTGTGGGCTTTTCTCGCAGAGACTTGATCTGAGAAGATCCTACTTAAAGACCAAAAATAAACTCAGGCCCAAATTCTTTAAAACTTGGTGATGTGTTTAGATCCAAACAGAAATATATTTCTGTTTATTTCTATATATTTAGAAATTATTATGTTTTATATAAATTTCTGTTATTTCAAATATATTTTTTCAATGTGTTTTGCAAACTGTGAGTTAAATTACTGCACTGGAAGAATCATTGGCCAAGCAGGTGGAAGCAATTCAGACCTTTTCAGGCCTTTTGACAAGAAATTCTTCAGTATGTGCAAGAAAGTATTTTCTTCCCATCAGTTTATTCAACAGTGTCAATTTAATGAAAGTTGAAAAAAGGAGACTGTTTTCCTCTTACAGTCTAGGAATAAAAGCAATTAGGAAATGGATTTGGTTGTTTCTGGTCACTGTGTTCTTCACTCCTTCAGAACGAATAGTTGTTATCGGATTGAAATACGTAACATGTCTTGATGCTTTTAATTTTCTTAATGGTGTAGCACATTTTAAGGTTAATAAGTAATTTTGGTTTTATGGTCATTTAAGACTTAATTCAAGGTTTCCTCCAAATGAATCTTGTCAGAAAATAATAACTTTAACAGAAGTAGTATACTCTTTTATCATATTCTGATAGAATCTAAAAATATAAATATTTATTCTGTACGGAGTTTTTAGATTTACAAGTTCTTCTGATTAGCAAAACATAACAAACACTTTGATAAGCATATCTCTCTTTACAATAAAGGCAGATTTTAATTTCTCTGGGGAAATAACTGAAGTACAAAAGCAGGCAAAGATTAAATTTATTTTATATTGAGGGCTTCTGCTAGTAAAGGCAATTGATTGAACTCTGCTATTTTAGTTATAATTCTACCATGCAAGGCCTGAAGCTAATGCATGTTAAAGAATGTTGGAATGCAAATTATCCAAAACTATTAATTTTATAATCATTTGTAGTACGAAATAGTGGACTTGTGTCCTAAAATACTCAGTACTAAGAACTGGAAAACTCTTAATTTTCAAGCATTTATTTAAAAGTTTTAAGCGCATTAGAATGGTTAAATGCTCAGATTTGATTTTTGAAGTACAGATATTTGGGGTCTCAACTTCTTGAAAGTAATCATTGTTTTTAAAAATTCTCTGAATGGCTGCCTCCATGGAAGCAATTTTGTCCTTTGAAACACAATGCATATCTGCAAGTTGCATGAATTTTTCAGTGCAGGCGTTCAAAAAGGAGGCTCTTTTATCTTCAAATACAATTTATTTAATACATGGTGAGAAATGCTTCACTGAACAAAATCAGAGCGTGCTTTTCATTTGACTAATAGTTACTTGTCTGAGCAAATCCCAGGATAGGTAGCTTTATGATCCGTGGGTCTAGAGAGACTTGCTTTTGATTAGGTGAAGCTTAATGTCAGAGTTCTGTTGCAAACTGTAGCAAGAAGGAAACTTTATTTTCCTGATGATGCTTGGAAGAGTAATTTTTCTTCATGACTGTTTTGAGCAAGAAGTTGGGGTGGTAAAGTTAGGAATATTATTTCCTTTTCTACTCAGGTTGCGAATGTCTAATCTGAAAGCAGGGTGGGTTAAGCCAAGTCATCTGTACGTGCTGAGTAACTCAGAGTTGTAAAGTCTGACAGTAAGGATACCTGGAGTTCGTTGTCGCTGTGTTACTAACTGCGGGGTTTTCCCTTTTTCTCCCCAAGACATAACACCCCCTCCCCCCCTTTTTTTTTTTAATATTTTCCTGCAGATCTGGGTGAGAAAAACCAGTGACAGCACAAAGATGAGAATCTATCTGGGACAGCTGCAGCGAGGTGTTTTTGTGATTCGTCGACGATCAGCTGCATGACTGTATGCTCTTCCTTGGTCTTTCCCCCTTCCCCCCTCCCCCCCCTTTTTTTTCTTTTTAGCAGGTAGACAAACCTCTAATGGGGAATGGCAGTCTGTTCGCTCTCATCTTAGCAGCAGAGAACACTGTCGGGACCTCTTACGAGACAGTTTGTGGCTGGCCACATCACCCCTAGTAGTCCTTAAATCTTTAGTGATACCCAAGCACTGCCCTGGACTGTTTCTGGACTTTACATCAGGCTTCTCTATGCTTTCTTTATATTTCGGGAGACTATTTAAGAAGACTTTGCATCAGACTTTTCATCGTCATTTCATGATGCATAGATGGGACTTGTATGTTGAAAACAACGTAACATTTATGTTTTAAATCAGACTAACGGAAGAAAACTTTGCTTGTCAAGACCTGAGGTTGGTTGTTCTTTTTGTTTTTGTTTTCCTGCAAAGCTCAGGATGGTGGGCAAAAGGAAATTAATCCTGCCAGCTTTCGGCTGCAGCTGAGAGATGAGTCGGTAACATCTGGTATGCAGCATCAGCTTTATTGGATGAACTGTTTAAAGACTTGAGCACTGAGGCTTTTTTAGGAAAATATGAACAGTTTAGGAACTGCTGAAAATCCTGTTGATTTTAATGTTGTTAAACAGTCACACTTGGCTAATCCAAAGCTTCCTTTTCTCTTCATATTAAAAAACCCTTCAATGAGCAAGCAAAGAGTATGTCTATACTGCTGCAATGAATTTCTTGAAATGGGCAGATATCTTGATAGGTATAAACCAAATGATTAATTAACTGGACTTTGCACTAGGGAGCGAGACTATATGAATTTATATATATACATATATACATATATATATATATATATGTATGTATAAAATATAAGTGAGTGTACCACCCATATGTGGAGTGATGAAAGGTGAATTTCAGTTTCTTTACTGATGTCTCGAGAGTAATGGGTCATGCTGGAATGACACTGACATAAGATACTGGATCTATCATGTCTTCCAAAGAAGCTTGATTCAGAGTGGAAAGCTGCATTGACATGCTCTTGGTGTACATTGGAAACCTTAATTCCCTAAGATGTCATATAAAGGTCTCTCTTTGAAGGGTGTTTTAATTGCAGGAGAGAATGCTGAGTTTCTACACTCTCCCTCCAATAGCACAGGAGTTAAAATGTTCGAGTGATGGTATCGGGCTATTCCCTTCCAAGATATTTAAAGATCTTTGGACCCTAGCATTCCTTTATTCCCGGTCTTTTGCTAATGGTGGAAACCACCAATACTGTGCGTGACCCCATTGACATGAACTCCACGACACTGGCAGCACTGTCAGATCTTTGCCTTGTGTGCAAATGGACTTTGTGCTCCTTTCGATTACTGGGCAAAGAGTTGTAATTTCTGCCTTTATTAATATCTGTGTGAGGCATCCTTTGTTTTCGTTTTTGAACTGCCTTCTCATTCAGCATCAGCCTTTCTTTCTTATCTGGATAAATGGAATATTTTAAATGACTGTTTCCATTTCTTTTGCTTACTGCAGTTGGGTGGCAGTCACATCCCAATAACTGATGTGTGTACGTGGATCTGGAGGGGAGTGTTATGGCTGAGCTTCTGATGTGTTGTCTGTGTGACTGAGACATCCTACATTTTTATTGTGTTTAGTTTCAACTAGATCTGGAGCTGTAGTGGGGAAAGGAGAGGGTGTTTGTTTCCCACCTCTTGAAAATATGCCACCTTTTGCTTCAGAGTTAGTCAGGTGGAAAGCAGCAGGATGTATTTAGTCAAATTAACAGCATACTTAATATAACTTAACGTGTCACACTTGCAGAGATGTTTTTATAAGGTGATGATGTACCAAACAGGATTTGTCGCTGAGTCTTAAAACAAACATCATAGTTCTTATAATAAAAACATTAAGTAAATAGCAGGATTTATTTCCTACCTATATCATCATATCAATATATGTGTTTGGGGAGATAGTGGGAAACTTTGGCTCAGCTTTGGGAAGATATCTTGCCAACTCATTATCAGCAGGTGATCCTTCTGCTTCTGTAATATCATTATCTATTTTGGGGTAATTATAAAAGTATTGATGGAAACGTAAATGTGTGTCAATTCTTAGAGCTAGGTATAGTGTGGATGTGTACTATGTAAGTTTAAGTCTTCAACACTACATCTTAATGTCTACCACCACCCTCCCCATCCCTGGGCAGAGGGGAGAGAAGAGCTGCTCTCATAGCCAGAAGCCCATCTTCCCATCAGCCTTGGTCTCATATCACAGGGGATGGGTGGACATTCCTAGTTCACACCCTAATCAGAATTTGACTAGTCTTCTGGAGGCAAATACCAGTAGCACCATTTCCCTTTTCTATAAACCTGCTGTGGACGCTGTCAGCTGTGCTACCAGAGTTACTGCTGTAACTCTGTAAGGAGTAATCTTGTGTTGCTGCAGATGATCAAGGAGAGTAGCTTTGGACTGAAAGAAGTGCAGGGTGAAAACAAGCTGTCTGAGGATGTATGAGGAGGGTGAGCGATGGAGGTGGGAAGGAAGAAACCTTTCTGTACTTAGATATTGACTTTGGAGGTGGGTTGCATAAAGGGGCTCTGATTCATGGCAGTGCTTCAGCATGGGTCAGAACTTGATCTCAACCTCCTGCTGTGTTTACACAACTGACCTTGGATCTCCAGAGGGGATGCATGAGGTTTGTAGTAATCCTTTTTCTCAGAGGTTCTTGTCCGTTACAAGATTCCCCACCACCCTCGCATCAACCTTTGAACTTTAATTTCTGCTTTCGATAGTCCAAAGTGTGGGCTTGTAGCCCTCTGATCAAATTTAACTGTTATACTGAAGGTATTCCTTTTTAAGGCAGCTCCGTCCTTCACTTAAAATTTTAATAAAATGGAAGTCTTTTTCTTGCCTTAATTGATCATCATAAAAAGGAGATCTGTCTCCTCCGACAAAAGTATGCGATTATTATATCCTATTTTCAGACAGGCTGTTCTGTGATGGCCTGTATCATTTTCAAGGCTGGAGATGATAAAAATGCAGTGCCTTCTTCTGTGCTCAAGGAAGCGGTACATTTTTTAACCCCAGAAGGATGTTAAGCATGTTGTGGCGAGGATGAAGCATGTGGAGACCAGTGTGTATAGGCATCAGCTCTAGAAATGCCATTTTTCTGCCACTGGTTGGAAGAATGAAGAGAAGTTACTCAAGGAGGTGGCCAAGGTCTTGCTTAGCATCTCAGAGAAAATTGGCTTTCCTGTCTGCTATATGCCTCTCTAACATCAGTCTTCTGAAGAGTTCAAACCCTCAGTGAATAGAAGCGACTTTGCTACAGGTATGAAAATATTTAATACTCACTATGAATGGTGTTTAAAGTAAACCTAAAAAATAGTTTAACTCCTGGTTATGTATAAAGAAGAAAGGTGAATCTTCTGCCAAAAATAGACTTTTATTGAGGATTACGTTGCTGTAGTTGGCTGTTGCTTGGTATTAAACACCTTTTCCGTTGCCTTTGAAATGGACTGTGTGTCTGCTGGGGGGGGGTGGGGAGGGAACCTTTATTTTGTGCTCAAATATTAGATATTAAAATATACAGGAAATATACAGGAAGCCAGATCCAGTTAACCAACGTTCAGTGTTTTCTTAACGTTTGACTCACTGAAAACTTTAAAGAGGCGACTTTTTGCTAGGATTCAAGTTAATAAGAGGAATTGACTTTTTAACTTGTGTGCTTTGTCTGGAATTTTGGAAAGAGAAAAAGTGATTTAGCAACATAAGTCTTGATGACTTTTTTGATATATTTTTTTGAATTACTGGAGCTCTTGCTAAAATAAAACCTAGAAGTGCAATGAATTGCTGTGGCCTTTGGGAAGCTCTTCCTCTTTCAGAAAAAGAAAGATGAAAACAACTTTTGGATTCCCCTTGTGCCACAGAAGAAAACAACAAATGTTAAATGGTTAAGAAAAATCTGAATGGGTTATTAAAGTCTGCTGTTACCAGTTTTAGCTTGTCCAGTTTTAAAATTCAGAATTTAATATATTGTGTAGTATTTAGAAATAAGCATAAGGGCATGTGTCCTATAGGAAAACTTCCATTTTTCTATGATATATTGAAAATCCATTATCACTTAAACTTCACATTTCAGTCAAAGTATTCAGCTCTTTTATTGTATACTGAATTTCAGAAACACCTTTGACATTTAAGGGCAGCTTAAACTTTTGCATCGTGTATAACTACCTATTTATGAGGGGTTGTCTGTTGGTACTTTGATTTTAGTGCAGAAATGTTTTTCTAAACTATTCTTGGTTTCAGTTTAGGTAATAAATACATGCAGAGAATTGTCTGTATTTGTATTACTTCACCTAAAGCTGAAAAAGCAGAAAAGATTGTTCTAGCTCCCCTCCCCATCAGATGTCAAGAAATAGGTGGAGGGGGAGAAGGAGACAGTACAATCTAAAGCCCTGGGGCCAAACTTCCAGTAACCCAGGTGCCAAAAGAAGTAGGTGCCAAATATTTTCAGCGGTGTGTTTCTAAGCAGGTTAGATGTCTAAATTCCATTCATGTAAAGGAGGCACCAAACAGCAATAAGGAAAGAGCTACTTAAGCCTTCACATCTGAAATTGCAACACAGTGAGTGAAACCAGTCATTTTTAGGGCTTTAGAACTAGTAGATCTAACCCCCCAGCAACAGTTACTGCTTTATTTAATCAGTTTTTAAATTTGCAACCTACCAGTTGTCCAGTATGCCTGAGGTAGCTTTGACCTTTTAAAATTAGTTCTAATTGGCATCTACATATTTTTTCCCAAATCTTGAAAGGGAAAAATATCTGGCTAGAAAGTGGTGAAAATTTCGTTTTCATTCCACTTTATTAATGTTCTTCACTGAGTTAGAATTCTTTTGACAGTGATGATTGCCTGCAAATTTCTGCTATTAAATGGTTATACCAGTCAATGAAAGCTAGCACTCTGTGATGAAAATAAATACAAATGCAAATCAAGGTTAAAATTAGTGTCTTAAATCAAGGTTTTCTGCATGATGATTTGAATCATGTTTGGAGTTGGTGGCTGAAACGTGTTGGAGTGAACAGATTTATTGCACTGACTGAACAAGGGTTTGGAGAGCGGTTGGATCAGGAGACACGGATGTAGCTCCATTTCTGCTTGCGTCATAAAATGAGAAGGTAGGTGGAGCTTTTTGGTTTAGTCCCATCTCCATCCCCTCCAAAGTAGCAGATATCTAATAAACAGTTAGTTGACTTCTATTGAAACCAATAGTTCAAAATAACTGCTGATCGTGTCAAGTTCCTTCTGATGAACGTCGATAGTACTGAAGAATTATTCATTATGGGGAAGCAATATCCTTTTGCCCATGAACTCAATTTTAGGAACAGCGCATAGTACTCATAGGAATATTTTTTTTTCTAATGTGATTGAGAACCAGTGGTCCAGATCTCATACATCATGAGGCATCAGGTAATGGGGAAGACTCTGAATACTAATGATACTAAATCATGTGATATAGTTGCACAAAATCAGCAGAAATATAGGAGACCTATTCTGATGGAAAGAATTTCTATGGTAGTAACATCTCTTCCCTTGAAGCTGGGAATTACTAAATTCCTCAGTTTAAGAATTGCCTGAATAACATGAGACACAGCAGAAAAGTGTTTCACCCACAATTATGGTATTTTTGTACTAGAATATTGATTAGGGCTAACTTTGTACCAAGAGCAGAGTGAGCAAAAGTGACAGGAGTAGTTATCAGCTCTGGCTCAATCTATCCGACTGACTCTTTTCTAAGAAATTTAAAACTACTGATTTGTTTCCTCTTTCATTAAAATGACTGGAGAGAGCTTTGAAAGTCTGAGTGAAATACAAATGAAAGTGTATCTCTCCTGGTCTCTGCCTGAAGATGGAAAAATAGCGTCCCAAGGAAGGCAAGTAGGAGTTCTGACTTCCGGCTGGCAATCCGGTCGCAAGTCCCCCACCACAGGGCCTTTGCTTGAGAGCGTTTCTCGTACCCGAGATGATGATGCTTGCGTATCCTTTCAAGGCACTGTGAGAATGAGTATTCAGGAAGGTCGTTGTCTCCCTGTCGGATATTCCGTAATGCAAAGCTGTAATGTTGGTGCTCTTTTCCCCTGGACAGCTGGTGTGGAATACGCAGCCAAGGGAAGTAGAGCTCGCAGGAAGACTGCTGAACTGTTCTTGGAGAGAATGGATGAGCTATTCTGGCGAGGAAGCTTCTGGAGTATTTAGCAATGTTTGACACCTTTCCATTCTGAGAGCTGATTTTTCTCAAGTCTAAGTTTAATGTGGCTCTGAAATACTTTTAGATCTATAGAGAGCATGAAGAGTACACAGCATGTGTTCTGGGGCTAGCTTATTGCAGTGTCTTCTGCTCACAGCTACCCTCTGCTCCCTGAGCACTGAAGATCTTTTGGAACGTGTCGATATACTTGCCTTGTAATGGATATGAGCAGGCTTAAAAACTGGCTATTGCTTTCACT